CGGATGCACCGGAGGACGGGGCTGCAACAGTGGGACTGTGCAAAGCCTAAGAGAACCAAGGCTTGCAGCTTTCCATAGGCGTGGTGGTGGTGCAGGAATGACACTGACAGTGACAAAGCATGTGGCGATCGCATGGAGGGAGAGGAGGGCCAGGGCAAGAGTGAGTTCTGTGTTTGCACAGTACGGGAGGGGCTGGACAGGGCAATAGTCTTTTGTAGTGAACCTTACAAGGTGGATTTTGTTGATTCTGAAGGAAAAAGCAGCTGGATGAGAGCTCAGGATAGCTGGGAGGCCCAGGAGAAGAGTGAGGGAGTAAATAACGAGCCCAGGTAGCAGGTGGTCAGAGCAGGGTCAGTGGTGACAGAAGAGGCACAACAAGCAATTCTGTTCCGACTACACTCAGGTGAATACCTCTGGTAAAAGTACTTGTGGGACTTTGAGGACTGCTATAACTAAAAGTCTGGTGTGTCAGTAAATAAAAACCCGTGAGATACTTGAGCCATGCTATGAGGGCAGGTAGGTCTCACTGGCAGAGTTCTGTGGTTGCTGAGGAAGTAGGAAGCTCGCATCACGAGACCTAAAGCGATGTTGTGCCACTGATAAAGCCAATGTAGCTTACAGACCACGTGAAAATAACACTGTTTTCTTAAACAGCCGTCCTGGTACGTCCAGTGCCTCCTCTTCAGCTTGTGCCAAGAGGTGAACCGTGTTGGCGGTCACACTCTTCCGAAAGTCACCTTGCAGGAGTTACTGAGGACCTGCATGGCAGAAGTGCTTGCTGCTTATGAAAAGCTCGTGGAGGAGAAGCAGGAGAAGGTACGTGAGTAGGATCAGCCCTTGCTCCAGCTGGCGTGGGACGGGAGGGTCGCTGGGCACACGGCGATGCATATGCTCCTGTCCCTTGGAACAGAAACCGTCTGCCTGAGAGTTCTTCCCCTGCCTCCCCCAAAAATGAGGCAAAAAGGGATCAGATGCCAGATTGCATGCTCAGAACGGTTCAGTTAGGTTGGTTGTTTCTTGGTGCTGGTGTTTTTAAACGTTTCCCCTGAAGCAGTCCTTTGACAGCCCTGTCACAGTGTGAGTGAAGAGCCCTGTTCCTGACTGTCCTATTTGCAGAAAGCAGGCACCTTCCCCATGACCCAGAACAGAGCTCTGCAGTTACTCTACGATCTGCGGTACCTGAGTATCATCTTGACGGCAAAGAGTGAGGAAGCAAAAACCAGCAGGATCAAGCATGACTCCGGGTGCGGTGCAGTTCTGGGGTTCGGATACTAGCAGTAGTTTGTGAAGCCCTGAAACGCTTTAAACCGACAGCCTGGAGAATGCCTGCAGGAGTGGTGCCTTTGGGCCTCACGGGAGAAGGGCAGTGCAGACTCTGAGCTCTGACATCTTCACCGATGCTAAGTTCATCCTCAAAATATAGAAGGAGGGGTGGGATTCCGCGGCTGAGAGCTCGGAGACAGCGGGCTGGTCCCCCCTGCTTGCGTACACGGCGTGTCAGTACGGCGGCAGGGATAAAGCCCC